CGGCGGCCCACGGTGCTGTCCTGTCCTGGGCGTTTGTGGCCTGGGACCCGGGTGCTCGTGTGCTGGGGGCGCTGCCCACCCCGAGCTGGTGTGGGCCATTCAGCCGGTGCCATGGGGGCGTAGTTACCCCTTTAGTTACCCGTGCATGTTCACATGATCCCTCCCTCCCTCCCCCAGCGAGAGCAGAGTGGCCCAGCCTGGGGGCCCTGAGGCCAGGATGCAGGAGCCCAAGGCCCACTCCAGCCCAACTGCCCTCCGGTCTGGGTCCGAGCCCCCCAGCTGGCCTTGCCTTGCGGCCCCTGAGCGCCCACGCCCCCGGGGCGCACAGACAGCCCCTGCATCTCTGTCACCTCTGCGTGGGGGTGGGGGAGGGGCATGGCCCACCCATCCGCTGCTCCCCTTGCAGAACCACTCGTGGAGCGAGCTCTACTCGTTCGCGCTGTTCAAGGCCATGAGCCACATGCTGTGCATCGGGTACGGGCGGCAGGCGCCCGAGAGCATGACGGACATCTGGCTGACCATGTTGAGCATGATCGTGGGCGCCACCTGCTACGCCATGTTCATCGGCCACGCCACGGCCCTCATCCAGTCGCTGGATTCCTCGCGGCGCCAGTACCAGGAGAAGGTCGGGGCGGGGTGGGGGCGGCGGGGACCCAGAGGGAGGCAGCCCTGGCCCTAGGGCTCCCCAGAGCTCCGACTCGGTCTACCCCAAGTCCAAGGCCGTGCCCAGTCCCCTCCGGATGCTGTGCTGTCCGCCCTGCCGGCTGGCCCTGGCCCGGGCCCAAGAGCTCCCCCCCACCCCGGCAGTGCCAGCCGGGCCCGGCAGGGTCAGTCGGGTCAGCTGGGCCCCGTGCCAGGCGCCCCGGTGTCCGGAAGCCGGGGGCCTCACGCCCAGACAGGAGCTGGTGCTGCCACCCTCCCGCCGCCACGCGCCCGCTGAGCTCAGGGCAGCTGCGGCCAGGGGGGAGCGGGGGCCGGGACACCCCAGGGTGCCGCCCTGGGACAGCAGGGCCTGGCACCCACACCCCTGTCCTGCTGGGGGGGGGGTGGCGCCTTCGGAAGGAACAGGGAGCAGAGCCAGGGCTGTCCTGCAGGTGTTAAGGCTTGGATTTCGGGGCGCCGCGCCCCCCTCCGGAGCTGGGCGGCCCGAGCTGAGCCCTGTCCACGCCCCGCCCACAGTACAAGCAGGTGGAGCAGTACATGTCCTTCCACAAGCTGCCCGCGGACTTCCGGCAGAAGATCCACGACTACTACGAGCACCGCTACCAGGGGAAGATGTTCGACGAGGAGAGCATCCTGGGCGAGCTGAGCGCGCCGCTGCGCGAGGTGCGGGCCGGGCGGGGCGTGCGGGGGCGGGGCGGGCCGGGCGGGGCGCGCGGGGGCGGGGCGGGCCGCTGCGCGAGGTGCGGGCCGGGCGGGACTCGCGGGGGCGGGGCGGGGCGGGCCGCTGCGCGAGGTGCGGGCCGGGCGGGGCGTGCGGGGGCGGGGCGGGCCGCTGCGCGAGGTGCGGGCCGGGCGGGACGCGCGGGGGCGGGGCGGGGCGGGCCGCTGCGCGAGGTGCGGGCCGGGCGGGGCGTGCGGGGGCGGGGCGGGCCGCTGCGCGAGGTGCGGGGCAGGGCTGGGCCAGAGCGGGACGTGTGGGGGCGGGGCGCACGCCGGGGCCTGCGCGGGACGTGTGGGGGTGGGGCACACTCTGGGGCCTGCGCAGCACCGCCAGCTCTGTGGCGCCCACCTGAGACAGGCCTTCCCTGTGCATCGAGGCCAAGATGTGGGGGGGCCGTGCGCCTGCCGCAGGCGCTGGGGGACGAAGGGACCGTCTGTCCTCTCAGGGACACTGCACCTCCGTGGGCTCTGACCCCGGCCGGCCCCAGATGGGGCGCACACCCTCAGGGCTCCCAGGAGGCAGGCGCTGTGGTTGACGTGGCTGGAGGGGCTTCATGGGGACCCTCCGCACCCCCACCCGCCACGCCCCCTGCCTGAGGCCGGGCAGCTCTCGCACGGTCACGGTGCCGCTGTGTGTGGCCGCTGACTCTGTCTTGACGGTTGTCTGCTACTTTTTCTGCGGTACACAGTGAGCGCTCCATGTATGCTCGCTTCTACAGGAGCTGGACACGTGCGCTCACTCCTACTTGTGTAGCTGGGAGCTGGACAAGCCCCGCCTTGTAGTATACACTCAGGGCTTCCTGTACAAAGATCCTGCAGGGTCAGCCCCTACTGTCTGTATACAGCAGGCACCCAGTATACACTTGTGCACAGGGCATACGGCAGGCACACAGCACGCACGTGAACACGGGCTGGCGGTACGCCCGGGGCCACCCCGAGAAGTCTGTGCTCCCGAGTGACCTTGGCGGGCTGGCCAGTAGCAGCCACAGCCCTGCGCGGCCGGGACACAGGAGTGCGGCCGCGGTCACGGCCGGCCCGCAGGGCCCCCCCCCCCGCCCCCAGGTTTGTTGCCGGCCTCCTCCCGCGGGCGCGGCGGGCAGCCACGGCCGGCGCCCGCCCGATCGCCGCCGGACACTTGCTCTGAGCCGGGCCAGCGGCGCCGCCGCCCGGCCCCACTCCCGCCCCTGCCCGCAGGAGATCGTCAACTTCAACTGCCGGAAGCTGGTGGCCTCCATGCCGCTGTTCGCCAACGCCGACCCCAACTTCGTGACGGCCATGCTGACCAAGCTGCGCTTCGAGGTCTTCCAGCCCGGGGACTACATCATCCGCGAGGGCACCATCGGCAAGAAGATGTACTTCATCCAGCACGGCGTGGTGGGCGTGCTCACCAAGGGCAGCAAGGAGATGAAGCTGGCCGACGGCTCCTACTTCGGGGGTGCGCGCCGGCGGGCGGGGCGGGGCGGGGCGGGGGCGGGGCGGGGGGGGGGGCGCTAGGCCCTGCGGCTGTCTGAGTCCCGCCGCATCCCCGCAGAGATCTGCCTGCTGACGCGGGGCCGGCGCACGGCCAGCGTGCGGGCCGACACCTACTGCCGCCTCTACTCGCTGAGCGTGGACAACTTTAACGAGGTGCTGGAGGAGTACCCCATGATGCGGCGCGCCTTCGAGACCGTGGCCATCGACCGCCTGGACCGCATCGGTGAGTGCCACGGGCGCCTCGCGTCCAGCCGTAACAGGAGGGGCAGGGGCCAGCCTGCAGGGAGCAGGGGGCAGAGGGAGCAGGAGCAGCCACGGGAGTTCTTCGTGGGGGGGGGGGGGCCTGGGGGGGCTGCAGTCCACAGCGGGGGCAGGGATGGGGGCCCCAGGGTGGTGGTGAGGAGTGTACAGACGCTGGACAAGCAGGCCTCTCGGTATTCAGAAGGCACGCGTGGACAGGACAAGCACTGTACACAGCAGGTGCTCGCACTTGCAGATGGCACGAGCTAGCTGGACTTGCTGTATACAGCAGGCACTCAGTACATAAGTGCACTCGGCAAGTGCGTACAGGGTCGGAGGCTCGCTCCACACTGCAGGGAGGAGCTGCCGTGGGTGCCGGGTGCACGGTGGGTGCCAACACTGTGTCGGGGTGCGCACAGCGGGCGCCGCAGTGCTGAGGGACTGCCCCCGCCCCCACCCCGCCGCGGTGCTGAGGCGCAGCCCCTGCCCCCGTGCCCACGCCCTGCCCCCACCCCGCCGCTGGGGGGCTGCCCCTGCGCCCTGCCCCCACCCCGCCGCTGGGGGGCTGCCCCTGCGCCCTGCCCACGCCCTGCCCCCACCCCGCCGCTGGGGGCTGCCCCTGCGCCGTGCCCACACCCTGCCCCCACCCCGCCGCTGGGGGCTGCCCCTGCGCCGTGCCCACGCCCTGCCCCCACCCCGCCGCTGGGGGCTGCCCCTGCGCCGTGCCCACGCCCTGCCCCACCCCGCCGCTGCGGGGGGCGCTGCCCCTGCGCCGTGCCCACGCCCTGCCCCCACCCGCAGGTAAGAAGAACTCCCTCCTCCTGCACAAGGTGCAGCACGACCTCAGCTCGGGCGTGTTCAACAACCAGGAAAACGCCATCATCCAGGAGATCGTCAAGTACGACCGCGAGATGGTGCAGCAGGCGGGGCTGGGCCAGCGCGGCCTCTTCCCGCCGCCGCCGCCGCCGCAGGCCACCTCGGCCATCGCCACGCTGCAGCAGGCCGTGGCCATGAGCTTCTGCCCGCAGGTGGCACGCCCGCTCGTGGGCCCGCTGGCGCTAGGCTCACCATGCCTCCTGCGCCGCCCACCGCCGGGGCCCGCGCCCGCCGCCTCGCCAGGCCCCGCGCCTGCCGCCAGCCCCCCGGGCGCGCCTGCCAGCCCCCGAGTCCCGCGGACCTCGCCCTACGGCGCCACGCCCAGCTCACCCGCCGGGCCCCGCGCCGGGCCCGCACTGCCCGCACGCCGCCTGAGCCGTGCATCGCGCCCACTGTCGGCCTCACAGCCCTCGCTGCCCCACGGCGCGCCGGGGCCCTCGGCCGCCACAGCGGTGCGCCCCGCCAGCAGCTCCACGCCGCGCCTGGGCCCTGCACCCACTCCGCGGGCCGCTGCGCCCAGCCCGGACCGCAGGGACTCGGCCTCGCCCGGGGCAGGCGGCGGCCTCGACCCGCTGGACTCCGCGCGCTCACGCCTTTCGTCCAACTTGTGACCCCTGCCGCGCCGCCCCAGGGGCCCGGGCGGGCCGGGGGCGGGGTCATCCAGACCAAAGCCATCGCGCGCTGCCGCTGCCCGCCCAGAAGCCATAGAGGAGTCCTAGGTAGCTGCAGCCGGAAGGGCGGGCCGGGCCTGGCCGCACCCCCCATCGCCCCGCGCCCACCCCCATCGCCCCCGCCCCGCCCCCACGGCGGCTCCGCTGCGTGCCGCGAGGGGGCGCCTTCACCTCGGTGCCTGCAGGGTGGGGCCGCCGTCCCGCGGGGTTTCCCAGTGCTGCCCCCACCGCGCTCACGCAATAACCGCCGGCTCTCGCGGTCACGCACCCCACGGGGGCCTCCCGGGCCGAGAGCCGAGGCGGCAGCGCCCCCACGCCCCCCCACCTCCATTCCGCGCAATAAACGACAGCATCGCGCCCGGCAGGGCGGCCGCGGCTTTATTGGGGGGGGGGCGGGGCGGCGCTCAGCTGAAGAAGTAGGTGGAGTGCTTCACCTGCTCCAGGTCGAAGGCCCCTGCGGAGGGAGGAGGCAGCACTGAGCGCGGGCTCCGGCGCGCACGGGGCGGGTGGGCAGGCGGGTGGGCGGGCCCCCGTCCCCTTACCCGTCTCGGGCACCGCCAGCAGCGTCTCCCGAAGCCTGGTGGCGTGGAGGCGCTGGGAGAGCTTCTGCGACCTGGGGCTGGGGCGGGCGGGGTGAGGGACGAGCGCGGGGGTGGGGTGAGGCTCCGGTGTGTGTGGGGGGGGGACTGGGCCGGGCCTCACCTGGGGCTGGGGCGGGCGGGGTGAGGGACGAGCGCGGGGGGTCTGGGCTGGGTGGGGGTGAGGCTCTGGTGTGGGGGGGAACTGGCCCGGGTGGGGGTGAGGCTCTGGTGGTGGTGGGGGTAACTGGCCCGGGCGGGGGTGAGGCTCTGGGGGGGGGGGCTGGGCCGGGCCGGGCCTCACCTGGGGCTGGGGACCGGCGGGGGGTGGGGGGGTAACTGGCCCGGGCGGGGGTGAGCTCTGGTGGGGGGGGTAACTGGCCCGGGCGGGGGTGAGCTCTGGTGGGGGGGGGGGTAACTGGCCCGGGCGGGGGTGAGCTCTGGTGGGGGGGGTAACTGGCCCGGGCGGGAGTGAGCTCTGGGGGGGGGGGGGGGCGGGGCCGGGCCGGGCCTCACCTGGGGCTGGGGCAGTACCGCTGCACCAGGAACCGGGACAGGTCCTGCAGGATGGGCTGGCTGTGCAGGTGGACGAACTGCTCGCGGCACACCTGGGGGGGGCGCCAGGAGCCAGGCTCAGGGCACCCGGGCCTGCCCGCGCTGGGGCCCCGGGCGGCGGTGGGCAGGGGCGCAGGGTACCTCGTTCATGACGGGGACGTCGGCCGCGTGTGTCCAGAAGCAGTCGTGGACGGACACAAAGGTCAGGCCCTTCCTGGTGGGGGGGACACTGTTGCTGGCCCTGCCCCCGCAGCTCTGGGTGGGGAGCCCTGCCCCGCCCCGCGCCGCCCCCGGGCCCACCTGTAGCAGTGCAGGGCGGTGAGCATCATGTGGGAGGAGTCCAGCGAGTGGATGAAGTTGGGGGGGAACCCGTTCCTCTGCTTCAGCACGTTGGGCTTCCTGCGGGGCCGTGGGGGGGGGCGTGTGTGAGGGGCCGGCACCGCCCCCCAGGCCGTGTGTGAGGGCCCAGGCCCGCCCCCCGGGCTGTGTGTGAGGGGCCCGGCACCGCCCCCCGGGCCGTGTGTCCCCCAGGGCCGTGTGTCCCCCGGGGCCCTGTGTGAGGGGGGCCGTGTGTGAGGGGGGCCCAGGCCCGCCCCCCACTCACTGGCTGGTGTCCGCACTGACGCTGCAGGAGACGCTCTGGATGCCCCCTTTGACCTGCAGGCGGGGCGGGGCAGGTGCGGGCGATGGGTGAGTCCCGTCCAGGCCCCGCGGGGGTGGGGGGTGGGGGGCGGGCGCGGCGTACCAGCAGCTTGGCGTCCCGGTGGTAAGGCTGCACGACCGGGATGCCAGG